CTGTCAGCAGTTGAGTTCCAGCCACAAACAATGAGATTGCTAGCAATTGTGCCATAATTTGTCAGCAAATACTCAAGCTTATCTCCTCTTTTCTTTCTTTCTTCCTTCCCTTTTGTCAAAGCTAAACTGCTTGAAAGGATTGCATGCCTTGTCAAAGGTGTCAAGGGCCTGAATCAGTCTTTTCTAGACTTGTCTTCTACATTCTTTAAATTCCTAGTGATCCTTCAAAACCTAGTGCCAGGTGCCTCTCTCCTCAGTGATTCGTTCTCTAAATGCTCTGAGGTCTTAAAAAAAGAAAAAAAAATGCTCTGAGGTGATCATGCCCTCATTTGAGCTACTTTTGTACTTGGTATGCAATTTTGTTGTTGCCTTTACCATGCTGTACTGCATATATTTACTTAGATGTGTTTTCTTTGCCAGAGTGTAAACTCACGGAGGGTAGGGACCATGTCTTGATAGCTTATTTATTTACTTTTAATTTTTAAAAAGGATTTATTTATTTATTTTAGAGGGAGACAGCATGAGCAGGAGGGGCAGAAGGCAAGGGAGAGAGAGTCTCAAGCAGACTCCACACTGAGTGTGGTGTCTGACATGGGACTCAATCCCACCACCCTGAGATCATGACCTGAGCCGCAACCAAAAGCCGGATGCTTAACCAACTGTGCCATCCAGGCGCCTCTCGTTTATTTTTAATTTAAACAAACTATTTTAGAATAATTTCAGATTTATAGAAAAGTTGCAAAAAAAAAATAGAGTTTTCACAGTTTCCCCTATTGTTAACATCCTGTTTTACTGTTGTATGTATTTTACAACTAAGAAATCGACGCTGGTATGTTATTCCTGACTAAATTTCATAGTTCATTCAGACCTTGCTCGTTTTTCCTTAATGTCTTTTTCCTGTTCCCAGGATGCCATTCAGGTGCCACATTATATTTAGTAGTCCTATCTCCTTAGCCTCCCCTGGTCGGTGACAGTTTCTTGAACTTCACCTGTTTTTGATGACTTTGACAGTTTTGAGGCATACTGATCAGATACATTGTAGAATACTCCTTGGTTTGGGTTTATCTGATGTTTCCTCTCATGGCTAGACTGGGAGTTATTTTTAAACACCACCTCTGAGCTAAATACCTAACACGTACCACCTAGCATAGACCAGGCATTTGATTCATGGTTATTGAATTGACTTGAATTCAAGTGTTGCTTTGGCACCTCCTATATAAATAGAACCCTGACTGATGCTCTGGGAGAGATGAAGTGTGGAACTCAAATCCTGTAAAGATCTTCCACATAGCTGAATGATACAAGACAGCATGCAACCGAGTATTAAGTAAGGGGAACCAAGAGAATGACCTAGGACAGCTCAGGAGACAGACTAATGAGTGTGAGTGGGTGCAGTCAGCCAGGTCTATGTGGAAGAAGGGACTAGAAAAGTGGGGAGGATTTAGAAAGCCTTTTTTTTTTTTTTTTCCAGCTTTCAAGCACACCAAACTCTCTCTTGCCTTAGGGCCTGCTCATAGGCTGAGCCCAAACTCTGGGAGGCACATCCAACCCCTCTTTTCCCCTTGGCTGGCGTCTTCTCATTGTTTAGGTATAGGGCTAAATGTGCATTCTACAGGGGACATTATGCAAAATAGGCTCCCCTTGCCACTCTTTCCAGAGACTGCATCTGTTTTCTTCACAGCTTTTCTCAATGTTTATAATGGTTGATTGTTTATTTCTTTATCATCAGTCTCCCTCCCTGGAGTCTAAGCATCTTGAAGGTAAGTATTGGATCTTTATTTACTCTGACAGGAGACATTACCCAGCAGCACATGGCGGTACTCAAATTACCTTGCTGAGTGAATAAAGGGGTTGGATGAGCCTGACAAGACATGGGACAGTGACAAGAAGACATATGAGCAATCGCTTGTAAGAGGCACTGGAATGGAGCAAGAGTGAACTGGGTAGGCAGGTGGGATGTTGCCAGGTCATAAGACTGATCACAGTGGTGTCAGGTGATCCCAAGTGGGGTGGCACAATTTGGGCAAAGGCCAGCAATGTTCTAGGTGTGGGCTGCACAGAGGTAGAGGCTGCCCAGTGATTTTCCACCTTGGGAAGGGCAACAAGGGCTTACAGGACAAAGAATGAGGGATAAGAAATAACTAGGGCCCAGCGGAGGACAGGGGCCAGAGGCATGTCTGCATAAATTGAGAACGTGTCCCACAAATGACACCAACACAAGAGCTCCTGAGAAGTTGGGGAGGTACCTTGTTTAAATTCTCTGGTGTTGGCACAAACCCAAGAAAAAAAAAAGGGGCACTCTGGATAAAATGGAAGATGAAAGCTTGTGATTTTGCGATAGTATTTCGTACCAGGAAAGGACAGCCATCTTTGAAAGCATGGGGAAATCTGGAACAATGCAATAATGTGCTTCTGGGCTCAGAGCAGAGAGCACCCCAGAGAAATCTTTATTTTCCACCATCTTTCCTACATGGTCACAAAAGACAGAATCAATGTATATACCGCCTACCTTGAAACGTATGTGTTTTCCCCTCCAAATTCAATTTTAAAACACGGACCAAAAGGAGCTGCGTTTCATACAGATTCTGACTGGAACAAGCCCAGTGGGAAAAGGGCTAGAAAACATATGGCAAAGAAACTCTGAGAATCCAGAATGTGATTTAGAAACAAAAAACATGGGACATGTCGTCTTTGTGTACCCACATAAATAATTATGATGGTTGAACTCTGCTTATTTTTCATCCAACCAAAGTAACCGCTTGGAAAAGAACAATAATGGTGACCTGTGCATATGGGAGTCCAGAGGGACAGTCTGTGACAGAGCTGGTCCCCAGGAGGACCAAGAACATGGTCCAAGTGATTTTCCTCTGTCAAGGCCAGGGTAGGCAGAGGAAGGTTTAAAGAATGATTGCTCTTCTACATTGGACGGTCAGAACATGAGATCAGGGAGCAAGTTTGTTATTTTAAAAATCTAGCCTTCAAACCTCCAGAAGGTAAGTGGATGAGCTCTGTTCACTAACTTGGAACTCCAAAATTCCTTCTCTCCTCTGTACCTCCTTAGATCAGAACTGTAAGGAACCATATTAGCCTATGTATTAGCCTATGTAATCCCTTTATTTGAGAAGGAAAAAACCTGATGTCCAGAGGTCCCTCAGGGAGACAGAGCCTGAAGTAGGATGAGACCTTCTCACCGAGCTTCCCTTTACAACCCTGAGCAGCCCATCTGAGGGCTGACCACACAATCGGCTCCAATTCTACATTTTGATCTTCATTTTCCATTTATTTGGACATATGAACACTGTTCACCATATTTTTCCCCCTCATATTACTTTTGCAACAACCTTGAGGGGGCCAAGGAAAAAAACAAAACAAAAGACCAAGCACAATCACACTCATTGTAATGAAATGCACACCAGGCATCTGACCTAGACTCCCACTTCCCTGCCAATCTCCAGCTCATATAAATTCATTTCCCTAACAGAAAATCGGTGTCAACTTTGCAGTCAGAAAGTAATTTCCCTGCAAATATTATCAGAGAGGTTACTAGTGCTACTTGACAGTTTTATTATTACTTTTGTTTCAAGCTAAGGTGAGGAAATCTACATTTGCCAGGTAGCATGATGAAAAAATAACGTAGACTTTTAAACTTTGTGTTAGTCAGAGGGAAAAGTGAGAAACAAAGAACAAATGTGCTGGTTGCACACGCTGAATATGTCTAAGAATGTGTCACAGGATCCTGGCTTTCCTCCTTACTTCCCACCCACATCCTTTCTGATCCCGAAACATCAGAGTGGGTTGGAGGAAACCATTCTCTGCAGCACCTGAGCAGCCAGCTCAGAGGTGGGCAGCTGAGTGACTCGGCGGGACTGACTTGTAAACACTGCTTATCAGCTCATTCATAAGGTAAGCCGAATGGGAGCCAGGTAACTCATTTTACTCTTCTCTGGATTTAATTGGCAGTGGTTGTGCTTTTATAAGAACACTATCATCTAAACATTTCACATTTAGATAAGAAAACCAGACAACATAAAGACAACCAAAAGAGTATTTCAGTAATAGCCACTTAACGTGTGTTTCATGAATAGCTGTGTATATTATAGGGGCTAATTTAATTCATGTTTTTGCCTATATATTTTCTAGAGGATCTTGGATGTAGGATTGCCAGATAAAATACATTTAAATTAAATTTAAATAAAAAATAAACAATGATTCTTTAGTATAAGTGTGCTGGAAATATTGCATGGGACATACTTTTATATATATATATATATATATATTTTATATTTAAAGATTTTATTTATTTATTCATGAAAGACACACACAGAGAGAGACAGAGAGAGAAGCAGGCTCCAGGCGGGAAGCCTGATGTGGGAGTCGATCCCAGGTCTCCAGGATCACGCCCTGGGCTGAAGGTGGACGCTTAACCACTGAGCCACCCAGGCGTCCCAGGACATGCTTTTATTCTCGTCAATCTACATGGAGTCCATTAACTAGCCAGTTTATTATCCAGATTTTTCTTTCCCCTGCCTCCTTCTTTTCTGATCTTTCAGCAACTTAATTTTAGGAACCCTTAATAGAGGGTGGACAGAGAAATACAATTCAACCACGTTGGGTGTCCTACTTATTAGCTGGGACACACATTTTAACTAGGGGAGGAATTTGATATCCTGGGTTAAAAATGGTGATTCTCTGCATTTTCCCTATTGCCATAGAGACAGAACTAGCCACAGACTGATGTTTTCAAGTTTGGATTTTACAGAACAGTAAAATGTAAAAAGAAAAGAAAAAGAAATTCTGACATTGTGGAAGATCAATATACTGTTGCCAAGTTTAAATCTGATCGAATAAAAATGTTAAAGATACCACAATTGCCGTCTTCAATTATCATTAATTCATAAAAGAAAGTGACATTTGAATATCCCCAAGATGGAAGGACACTCTCTTAGAGCAAAGAGCAATACTTCTTAAAGTCGGCAGCCTTCCAACGTACAGTCCTCAGTTTTGTGAAAACTCCTCCACGACGTTGCGCTGGCCCTGGAATCTGAGAACACTCAGCCCAGGATATGTCACGGTAGGCCCTGTAAGATGACAGGACCAATGTCATCCATCATCCAAGTTGGTGCTGCTAGGAGAGAACCACAGAGCACTTTCATGTAAAGGAAAGAGAAGATGAGCACAGCCAGTTTGAATTTTGATGACTTGAAGTTACTCTCTAATTTAAGTATTTTATATCCGAGAAGCATATTATGTGTGTGGAAGTATTATGTGACTTTTCTCAAACTTTGAAGCATTTCCTCCACTTACAAGACATAGAAAACCTTTCCCCAAATTTTTCTAAACTTCCTTGGGCGCACAGCTTGATCTCTGTACTCTTCCTCTCCATCTCTGTAAAATGAATGCTTCAGGAATTGGATAATACGACATTGAACTTAAACAGCCTCTTCGTCAGAGAGTCCAGAGGTCTTTGAAACTCCAGGTAATTAAGCCTCCTGGCTCTTATGAACGGATAGGACGTGTGACCCCGGCAGAGAAGAGCTGGATATTCGCCAAAAGGCAGGTGTAGTTGATAGCAGTGCTGGGAGACCAAGTCCCCAAGTTCAGACTTTCTATCATCCTTCCCATTTTACACAAGGGATAACTCTGGGGTAAAAGCAGAGAATTGCCTGAAATTGCTGAGTCATGAACAGAAATCACAATTAAAATCAATTGCCCGACCCAAGTCTTGTATATAGTTTCTTCTATCCTTCTCTTGCCCGAGAAACATATAAAGACTTTTTACCAGGGGACCTTTAAATAGGATCGAAATCCAGTTTCATATGCCAAAGAGAGATTCAAAGCATTATTTACCAATGATCTCCAAATATTCTTTCCTTCACTCCAAGGCTGTCAAGTGGGAACTCAGTATCCTTTTCTTTGAAAAGGGGCTCTTTGAAGCAAAGAGGTAGTCATCAAACACACACACACACACACACACACACACACACACACACACACTTTTAAAAATATGTTAGTATGTACTTAAACAACTATATAGACTACCCTAACTTTTAAAATATTTTGACATAATTCTCTTTTTCCAGTCATAGGCTTATTTGATGTCTTTTGATTCAGTTATGTACCCAATCTTTTTCACTTTTTCAGTTTAATATTATTATATACATATTTCTCATACTGTTATAACTATTCATAACTTTATTTTAAAGGACATAGCATATGAATCATATGAAAGTATACTTTTACTGCCAATTTTTAACAAGTGATCATCTCTGTATTAGGGCAGTGGGGGGCAGTTTTTTAACATTATATTTTTCTGTAATGACAGCATTTTTAAATGTAATTGTTTATTACTTTTCTAATAAGTAAAAACACATACACTCTCAATGAATAATCACTTTAACCTGAATTTTTAGGAGGCCACTTAACATCTTCCAACTGTACCTCCCCATTGTCTGACCCCAACCTGCCTGAGAGATTCAGGACAAATGACTTAGGGATCCCAGACATTTGCATTCCTGAAAGAAGCAGTGCTACTACTTTTTTTTTTTTTAACTTCTTAAATACCACCTCTTCTGTTATTATGAAGCTGAAGTATTTTCCCCTCAGTCCTATTTAATATGGGCTTGTTTTCACTCTTCTCCTTGTGTTGTTTGCCTTACTAATTCTGACATGATTATTTTTTCAGACTCATCTGAAGAGAAGAGAGAGATTTTGGCTTTGATTCTAGAGTGATGTTTCACAGAAAGTCAACTCTTGTTCCAGGTACTTGATAAATATCGCACTAATTTCTTGCTGTCTATAAGCCATTAACATTTTGGTTAGCAAAGACTGGAGCCCTTACTTCCTACACAAGTCAGCTAATGAAAAGTCATGAAGTAAGACCTGGCCCTCTGCTTCTAATCTTTAATGGTTTCTGTCACTGGGGCTAAGCTCTTACCACCATGACTCTGCACATGGGGTACTGCCTCAGGGAAAGTGAAAGAATGCAAATGACTGTGGCCCTCAAATTACAATTTAAAGATAGCTGTTAGGTTATACTCTTCCCATATGCTTCTCTTCCTAACCATCAAGTTTGAGAATAGTGAGCTATTTTTACTTATTTTCAGTGGAAAGAATATTAAACCTTAGGGTGATGGTGGCATATTGCTGAATTATGTGTTTTAGTCTGACTAGAATACATAATACTTTTTTTATTGGAGTGAGGGAAGAAAAGAGGCCTTCAAATCCCTCCCCCTAAAAAAAGTCAAAAAAGCTAGATTTTCCTGGTTTCTGGGTTCTAGGTGTAAAGAAAAAGATAACCACAATTAATAACATGATAATCCTTAAAAAGGTATTTCTTGATAGATTTCAATTACATTTGCACCTACTGACTTAAAATATGCCTTTGGCAATCAGAACGCAACTATGACACTTAAAGGGGAAAGAGTATTTGGAAGGGCTTTCCAAACACACAAAAGATAGCAATGCTTTCATCAAAGGATGCTATGTGGCATCACGGAACTGAATCAGAGACTCAGCCCTCCATTTCCTCAGCAACAGAAATGTGCTTAAGATTGTTAGAGTAAATGAGTTAGGCAAAGTACACTTTGCATTTTGCTTTTAATTTCAAGAGAACAAAATAAAACCTTGGACTTGGCTGGAGATGCGTTCTGAGCCTTTTCATCTTCCATCCTTTGTCCTAGTCAACCCCAGGCAAGAATGATTGCCTTTTTCATTCCTTTATTTTCAGATCTGGCTCACTCAGAGGTTGTGGCGATAGTAGAGATGAGGTTTGTCACTCTAAGAGATACCATTTTAAAACACCAAAATATATTTTTTTTAGGTTAAACATTCCCTCTATTTCTGAAATAAACTCTTTTAGGAAGTGTGTTCTTTGCATATCCAGGCACTGTCTACAAGAAGAGGTTTGGAGAGGCTTGGCCAGGTTCTTATGGAGAACATTCCTTCTCATCATATAGGAAACCCATGTTATCCTCCTTTTTGGGTCTATCTTAGCAGGTTTGGAGATGAGATGAAAGCAACCCTATCTCACCACTTTTAGAAAGGAAATGAGGTATGGTGCTCATATTCCCTGGCTTTTACTTGGATCAAGTGTGGAAGAAAGGAAGAAAGAAGTGGAAACTAAACCTGGAAAAAGAAGAAGAGAGGAAAACAGCTATCCACTCCCTCCCCTGAAAACACCTGGCAATCTGCCTCTTTGAGTAAGCTGACTCACAGTGGACAGTAGTTCCTCCATGGGCTTGGAAGTATCCAATGATACCTACTATCAAGTAGAATGCAGTTTAAGATTGCTGGAGAAGAAGGATGCCTACCATTGTTGTTGTTGGAGTTTGTTGTTGTTTTTTTTTTTTTTTTTTACTATAGTAGTTTATAGAGGAGGAAGATTTTTCCTCTACCTGTCTTGGGTACATTGCTGGGGTCCTGCAAATTAGGTTGACAAAGGACAGATAAAAGAGAGAAAAGCAAGCAAGTTTGTTGATTCATGCAGTCCACAACACATGGAATACTTACTGAGGAGTAACTCAAAGAAGTGGTTAGAACTTGGACTTCTAGGGCATCTTAGCCAAGAAAGATAAATTTGAAGAGAAGTGACAAGACACAGGAAAAGGGTTTTAGACTTCCAAAGGTGGCAAACTGTAGGAAGATAAATATATGGGAGAAGCCAGTGGAAGATAAGGATTGTTTTAGCAAGGTTTGTTACATAGATTCCCCTGGTGCAGACTCTGGACTGTTAAGAGTCTAGGGTTGTTTCTGGTGGTTAAGAATCCTCCTGCCCTTTCTGGTAAAGAGGGGGAGGTCAGAGAGTTTGTCCTGTGTCTTTTTCTCCCCAGTTGTCTTCAGCTCAAAATAAGCTTTATGCCAGATTGGCATGTTCTAGGGTTTAGAACCTCTTCAAAGATTAACTTTTCTTCTTTTCATAATATTCTAAAATAATACATATACATGGTAGAAAAATTGGCATTTTGAAAGAAGTTAAAAGAAGCATGCAAAACATCACTAAACCTTACCTTGTTAGTCAAATGCAACCACAGTTCAGAATGGTTCCAGTATTCTTTCCTAGAATTTCTTTATCTTCATGTAACTGAGATCATTCTGTACACAGAATTTCACATACTATGCTTTCCTTCAATCATTCAAAAATATTTTCTAGTGCCATTATTAATTCTTTAACTATTATTTTAATAGCAGCAAAACTTTTCATCATATGATGATACTATAACTTGTTAATAATTTTTCTAATATTGGATATTTAGGATGTACTTAAATTAATGTTTTATGTGACTGCTTTAGCATTTCAAATTATTTCTTTAGGATAGTCTAACAGAAGGAGAAACACCAGATCAAAGAGTATAATGATTTTTAAAAAAGAGTATAATCATTTTTAAGTCTTTTTTTTTTTTTTAAGATTTTACTTATTTATTCTGAGAGACACACAGAGAGAGAAGCAGACACATAGGCAGAGGGAGAAGCAGGCTCCCTGTGGGGAGCTTGATGTGGGACTCAATCCCAGAACCCTGGGATCACGACCTGAGCCAAAGGCAGATGTTCAACCACTGAACCACCCAAGTGCCCCCATTTTTCAGATCTTTAATACATATTACCAGGAAGGTTGCATTAATTTATATTAGCACAATATATCAGTGTCTTCCTGAAGCTCTCACTGCATTGATTAATGTTATTTTAAAAATCTTTCCTATTTTTTTAGGTTCTTATTATTTAACTTTGTATTCACTGGTGAGGCTGAAAATTGTTTACTGTATAATTAGCTATTTGTATTTTCTTTTCTATGAATTGTCTGTTCATGACCTTTGTCTATTTTCTCATTGATTTATAATAACACTTTATAAATTAGGTCATTAACTTGGTCATTTCTTACCAATTTGCTTCTTGTCTTCTGATTTTGTTATGATTATTTTTGACATATGGATATTTTATATTTCTCTACATTTCAACTTACTGACCTTTTACTCAATCATCTCTTCCACTGCTTTAAAGTATTGAAAATCTTCACCCCTCTACACTAGATCAATATGCAGAAACATATTCTTTCAATTATTTAACTTTTCAAAAATAAAATTTCTTTAATCTATCTAGAATTTGTTATATGGTATGAGAAAAAATGATTCTTTCCCTGGTAAGCTAACAATGATCATGGTATCACTTCCTGACAACTTTTCCCCACAGTTTTTATATGTATTCCATATATACATGTTTCAGGTTATTCTTACATATGCAAGATTATATTTAGGGATTTTCTACTGATTTCTTTGCTTATTCTTTAACCAGCAGATTCATCGCCCCTAATTATTTTTTAGACATTCTTTTAGCTCTTATACTGAATTCCTTCAACTTAAAAGCTGGCCAAGATGATGTACAGAGAAAATTGTTTAAAGACCTGCCTTTAAAGTTTCAGGTCTTAGGTGAAAAAGATAGTGTTAGTTCTTCAGGTGTCTATGAAGATGGGGCTCATGCTATGACACAGAAAATCAGGAAGGACTTTCTCATTTTCTTGATAGTCATGGGAACAGGAATATAAAAAAGAAGGATTATACATCTTTTTGTTCATCTCAAGCAGAGAAAACTTTCAGGGAGGAGATTAAGACATTTAGTGCTGGAAGATTATTTCTGTTTGGGCTTCTGAGGCACCAGGAAAGGTACCAACTCATAAATCTGTAGAAAATTGCCGGAAATGGTCACAAAATGATAAACGAGAGAAAGTCTGAATTACAACCATCCTATTAGGTTCAACAAGGGATGTGCCGAATAACTTTGTTTTGTTTTTTAAGGCTTGTTAACAGTGAAATCTTAGGGTATGGAGTTTTTGGGTGTCTTTTTTCCTTCCTTTAAAAAAATTATGTTTTCATTTTCCCCCAAATTGCATATGTTTTTCCCCTCTTAATAATGATTTGTTAATTAACTTCTGGAATACAGTGTTGGAAGCTTTAGTACCAAGAAATGCAATGGTACAAAAAGTAGATTTTCTATTTCTTCATCTCTTTTCCTTAATAGGCACAGCAACATTAAAACTCATCTCATTAGAAGAGATTTTGTGAAAACGAGACAGGACATTTCTAAACCAAGTGCTTTTCCTCCGAATAAGATTTAACCCAAAATGAAGTTGGGGACTGGAAGAAGGTATGAAAAAATTATTTTTTAAAATTTCTATTTCTAAAGCAAATAAAAAATTATTTTATGGTAGGTCCCCCCCCCCCCCAACCGAGGATTGACACATTTTGCACGTTAAAAAGTAGAGGACTATAAGTAAGTACTCACCGGATACAATTTTTCCCCCTCTAAATTCCCTTTTTGCAATACAATTGGTGCTATTTTACTGTCTTGAAAATTCCCATTTTTATTTAATGTTCTCTACTTTCCTGTTTTCTTAGCTCTTCTTAATTGATTTGCTTTTCATTAGTAGATCATTCTCTCTGGCTGACCAACAGTGAGGAGGGTCAGAGTCATGGATTATATACTAAATCTGGTTTAGTCTGGCTCCAGAAAAGCTAAACTGTGTCTCACCCTCGAATTAGTTACTTTTAGTATAAGCGATAATCAGCCTCCCTGGCAATGATTTCATCATGTGAAGCGCTTGAGAATACCTGCTGCAATTTTTTTCACCTCCCCACCCAAGCAAGTTTATCTTTGCTCTGAAACCATCAGCAGCATTTTGCATTTCTTTTCCATGCCACATTGAAAAGAAATAAAAATCAAGTGCTATACATATCATTTAAATGCATAAACAATTACATCATAGTCCATTTCCCCCTTAAACCTTTCATGCTTGTTTTCCTGTCTTAGAATAACACTTAAAAGTCATCAAAGTGCCTACAGTACCAGCAGCCCTTCATGTCGGGGTTGGGGGGAGCACTGGGGACATCACATCTTTGCTCTACGATGGATGTCCACATAATTTCTTGGAACAAGGCTTCCAGCGGATAACCCTGTGAGATGGAGGAAACTTCCTTTCGCTCAGATACTGTCAGGACCAATGTGCCTTTCAGGAGATTGTCTGTGAGATTCTGAACATTGAAACTGTAAAAAAAATTGAGCTGGACAGATCCTTGCCACCACTTTTTCTGCTAAATATAGATAAGTTGTCATCGGATTGCACAAGCAATTTCCAGCTACAGCTCCTCAGGAAGGGAGACAGGCACTGGGGCTCATGTCTCTGGCAGTTAAACTGCATAAAGAGGAGTGGACCCTGACTCAGAGATTATAAGGCATAAAGGAAGGGGGCAGAAAGGAAATCCTCTGATAAGCTAAGGTATCTTAGCTTTGGTTAAAAATAATGGCTTACTGGGGGATCTGCAGCAAGGGATGATATAGGTTTTCATTAAGCATCAATAACTTTGAAGAAAAGGTACATAGTAGGAACTCTACCTGAGTCTGCACTCAGGGCTCCCCTTCCACTATCACTTCGGGAATACAACAGTGGGAAGAGACTGTGAGATACACAGAGTCCTGAGTTTGGATCCTACCTTAAGCTGACCCTGTGTTTGATCTGGAGTTACTTCAGTGCTCTGAGCCTCAGCGTCCTTATGCATAAGATGTAGGTAAAATAATATCTTTCTTGCAGGATTACTAGGATGAATATTAGGACTGAAGTACATGGCACTATTAATACTCAGTACTCATCCCTTTCTTGGTATTCTTCTCCTTCTTCCCTTTCAGGCAAGTTATTTAAGCTTCCCTGAACTCCAGTTGTTTCTCTCTTAGCAAGTCCTATGGGTCGTACCTCTAAAATATAACCAGAACTTAGCCAGTTCTATTTCCACTGCTACCAGGCCAATACAAGCCATTGTCATCTCTTGCCAGGCCACTGTAATAGCTTCCTGACTGGTTTCTCTCCGTCTGGTTGTGTGTGTGTGTGTGTGTGTGTGTGTGTGTGTGTGTTGTTTTAATTTAAATATTTTTATTTATCATTTTTATTTTATTATTTATTTTTTAAAAATATTTTATTTATTTATGAGAGAGAGAGAGAGAGAGAGAGAGGCAGAGACGCAGGCAGAGGGAGAAGCAGGCTCCATGCAGGGAGCCCGACACGGGACTCGATCCTGGGACCCCAGGATCACGTCCTGGGCTGAAGGCAGGCGCCAAACTGCTGAGCCACCCAGGGATCCCTTTTTATTTTATTTTTAAAAAGATTTTTATTTATTTATTTTTTTTTTAGAGACAGAGAGCAGGTAAGGAGAGGGGCAGCAGGAGAGAGAAAACCTCAAGCCGATTCCACACTCTGTGTGGCGCTAAGCCAGAGGCAGGGCTTGATCTCTTGACCCTGAGATCAGGACCTGAGCCGAAATCAAGAGTTGGATGCTTAAACCACTGAGCTACCCAGATGCCACTCCCTCTTTTTATTTTATTTTTTAAAAATATTTTATTTATTTATTTTGAGAGAGAGAGAGCACGAGCAAGGAAGGTGCAGAGGGAGAGGGAAAATCTCAAGCAGACTCCCTGTGGACAGTGGAGTCTGCCGCAGGGCTTCATGTCAGGACTGTGAGATCGTGACCTGAGCTGAAATCAAGAGCTGGCCAACTGCACCACCTAGGTGCCCCTCTCCCTCTGTTTTTAAACATTGTACAATCTGTCTCTGCCCAGCAGGTAGAGAGAACCTAAAAAAAAAACCAAAAAAGTAAGTTAAATCTTGCCACTCTCCTATCTAAAACCCTCCAAGTGCCTTCTCACTGCACTTAGAATAAAATCCAAGCTTCTCACCACCGACTTTGATGCTCATGCGATCTAGCCCCTGCTTATCTTTTTCTTCTTTGACTCCATCTGCTATCATTTTCTTCTTCTATTAATATTTTCCAACCGTACTGGCCTAATTTCACTTCCCAGAACACATCAAGTTTATTTCTACCTTGGGGACTTTGCTTTTGCTGTTTCCATAGCTTGGAAGAAATTTCTTCCAGATTCTGCAGTGGTTGAAACCTTTCCAACTGCTTGGTCAAATGGTCCCTCCTAAAATTTATCTTCCCTGACCTGGTGTCTATTGTAGCCTATTTTATTTTCTTCATAGCACTTATCCATACCTAAAATTATTTCAAATTTTGCTTGTCTGTTTTCCCCATGGGAATGGAAACTCCATGAAGGTGGAGGACTATGTATTTTTACCCCCGAATAAGCCTAGAACAATGCATGGTGCAGCATAGGTACTCAGAAATCACTTGGTGAATGAATTCTAA